ACCATGAACTAGTAGGGAGCAACCATACTATCATATAGAGCAGGAAATTATCTATCAAACATTGTAGAACATATTGGGAACAATTGTCGTTTTTCATATAAAAAATTGTGTGACCAAAAACTCAATTACTTGTGGGCCAACCCAATACTTATGTCGTAAAAACTGACGTTTAAATCTTCTACGTTGTCCAGATCCATCTATGCAGCAAAAAGAAGTCATCATTCATACTGAACAATGTAGAAATGAGCGCAAAAGTAACCAGAATGAGCGTGTAAAGGGGCATGCGGCACAAAGACTCCCGTTTCGCGCGTTTGTGTATTGCACGCAATTCACGCGCGCGGAGACGCAGGAAGTCAAAACGGGAGTCGCCGCAAAAACGCCGCGGCGTTCAATGTGTTAATGTGAATTTGGCCAAAAGTATATCCCATGTGTTTTGACCTCTCAAACCCTAATGAATGGTAGCTGGCGTCCACTCGAGGCTGAGGTAGGGATATTTCATCGATGTCACAGGAATTTTGGGACAGAAAGAGAAACTAAAAGCTGTCCGACTGATGAACACTTGTTTCATATACCTATGGTTATTTACTTGTTGATTGAGGTTTTCGATGACTTAACAAATGCCCAATCCAAAATTGCCTTCTGACTTCCAAAGACTATTTTCCACTAGCGGTGTGGTTGCGATCGTTTGCCAGCGCTTCCGGGCAAGCGTGAAGCGATTTGATGACCGCTTGACTAACTGCAGTCTTTCTTTCAGTCAGCAACTGCGCCTTTACTTATCTGTGGGTACTCCGCAAGGGGGATGCAGCAAACGATCCTGGGACACTTTCTGGTCCTTGCTTGATTAGGCAGCGTTCATACTTCGCGACAGCAGCGGCGATAACCGCGATCGTCGGTAGCACAGAGAACTAATGGCTACTAACAAGAAACTTTCTCTACTTAAAGACAAAGCCCGCGCTCATTTGCCATCTTAGATAGTGAATTTGGGCTTCGCATAAAAAGGACAAGGTTTAGAGTAAAACAATAGTGAAGGAAAAAGCAGAAAAAACATGCCCAATGTCCTAAATAGGACCCCATTACAATCCTAGTTTGTACGTGCATAAACAGCGCTTATGGACGAGCGTTCCACGTTATTGGCTCGCTGCCAGAAATAGGTGTGGCGCCACGTTTGAAAGACTGACCTTTAATATTCTTATTTTTTCAGTGAATTCATCGTATCATTATGTTTCTTTGTTCTTTTTGAGTTTGTGTTTTGCTTTTCAAATTCAAAATGTTGCTATTTTCTTCCAACATTTCGTGCACTTTTGCAATACAATACTTTTTGCAATACATTTCCAGTTTTACCACTCCGCGCGCTCAGCTGACTCAATACTACCCTACGTACCGTTATTCTGCGTCGTCTACCAAAATATCCGAATGGCTGCAGTGATGATTCTCTCATCTTTTCTCGTCCCACAAAGCTTCTGGTTTTCAGCTTGATAATGGGGTATGGTCTCTGGAGCGTGTTGCTCTTGCGGTTCCGTTTTCGTCTGAGAGTCTCCCCGTGGGCTCTGGTGGGAGTTGGTATGTTAGCGGCTTTTTCTTCTGCGCTGCTCTATTCTCTTTGAGGTGTTTCCTACGTCCGGGGTGATTGTGGTTACGTTGCAACATTTACCCGGTGGGTGAAGGGCCGCGGTTGCGCACGGTTTTGCCTCGTTTGTTTCTTGAGTTAACTTTATTTTTTTCAACTCATCACTCTTCGCTGGAGTTGGTTTAACGCTTAGGTTCTGCAGGTTTTTTCGGGCTTGGCCTATTGGTGATCATGGTTTTGTTTGTTTTTTAACAAGCCCAACGGAGAAAGTGCGCCGTGCAGAGCGGTGTCCGATGCGCCAGTACTGCCGCCAGCGCTTGGGAGGCGGAGTCACTGGAAAAAGGAGAACTAGGTTGACATATTTTGCTTATAGTAAGCGCCGCCTCCCTGCACAGTTTTTTGGCCACGAAAACGGTAAAGGTTCGTCGCGGTACGCACTATCTTTACGCGATGGCATGTTTTCATCTTCGATACTTGATCGCGGACCGTTCCTTTAAGAGAACCTGAAATATGAGAAAGGGGGTTTCACCTTTTTTTAAGGTATCGGTATAAGGACAACTTCATTTGAAGAGTGATTTTCTCTTTGCAGCCTTTGTTTTCATTGTTCATTTTATAGAAATTTTCTATTGGTTAAACCGCTCCAATTTCCAGAAATTCATAGCTAACAAGTCGAATTCAAACAACGAAAAAAAGAAATAGAATGAAACCCACCTAGGAATCGAAACACTAATGTTTTATGCAACATCAAGGAGGAGGAAACTTTATAAATTCATGTATAAGCTCGAAGAATGAAAAAAACACTGAGAAACTTACCCTAAATGAAGCTCCACGCTTTTTGCTCATTTCTATCCTGAATCAAAAAAGAGAATAGAAAAGAAAAGCCATCAAGTTTGGTCCACCTTTCCTTGAGTCAAAACAAGCTTTCATACCAGAGACAATCGCAATAAAAAGAAAAAAAAACCCTAAATCAAGCCGATTTTCCCTAGAAGCACTCAGAGCGGTCCAAGTAATAGCGTTTGACGCTGACGAGCTCTGACGCGTACCGACGATCGCGGTCGCCACTACTGCCGTATGAACGCTGCCTTAGATATCCCAAGTGAGTGCCCGAGTAAAGACTCTCAAAAACGCTAGGCAAAGCAACAGGCGTTGACCACTGGCGGCCGACTTGTGAATGTCACAGACAGTGCTAGTATTCTGCAGTGATTGGCGAACCTTTCTAATCAGGTTGTTGTGAAAAGGGCAACAGAGCGAGAGAGCGCGACGATGCTGACCTGCAAAAATAGGGGTAACTCTGAAGACCGCCCGAATTACCGTCTGATTCGCCTACTCTCGCAAAACATGAAAACCTTTGAGCACTGGCTGACTGCGTCGCTATCTACCCTAACAGGCCACTCGTCTTGCATTAGTCGCCAGAAGCAGGAGGCTGTACATTCAAGCCTCCTAGATTCAGAGAAGACTTTCGATCATATTCTCCGGATGTCGAATGGTACGCCGTACGAGAGCAGCACAGCGTTTCTGAAGAGGTGGTTGAGAGGGTGCGCATCCCATACTTCAGCCGTACACCAGCAATAACTTTGATACACCATCAAGAACTGCTGTGTGGAGATCCTCACCACAGCAGAGCGCACCAAGGTTACACACTTTACTCCTTGTTCTCGTCCAGGGTGCCATCTCATGAGATCTTCAACGACTGGGTCCTTGTTCTCTATGCTGGTGAAGCGATGCCTGTCTTGAGGAAATCAGTGATGTGCATCGAGTACATGCCAAGCCTGGTTGATTAGCGACGTTCGGAATCAGTATAAACGTCAGAGAACCGAGTAAAAAAAACAATAAGAATTTCGGGAAGCTGTTACGCCTGATGGCAGTCTAAACTCAGGAGGGCTCAGTGGCGCTTGATGACTGGAAGAGTTTTCGTGACAAGACGTTACCAGAGGGCTTCAGATCAAAGATCCATCGGAATATCGTTCGACTATACGAGCCTGAATACTTGCCAGTGACCAAGGGAGTCGAAATCCGTTTTTGTTTATCGAAGATGAAATTTTTGCGCTAGACGGCCGACCTTTCGCGTGTGCATCTCACTTTCAACGCTGACTCATGCAAGAGATGCAGATCCAGTACAGTTGTGTGCTTGCCATCTTTGGTAAAATTGGGCTGTATTCCGTAAATCGAGTGTAGGGCCTATGTCCACTCACCTACAGGTAATCCTGCTACGTTCAACTTGGAGCATCCTACTAGGATTTCCTTTCCTACAAAGGGTTCCGAGAGTCATTAGCCCAACGTTCAGAAGCTATCAGCTAATTTGTTTTCAAGGACTGAAGTCTACCACGGAGTGAAGTACTTCTTTGGGAAGATTTCGTAAACACTTCTGTACTTGCTGCTTCTTGTATACATTCGTTGAAAAGAAGGCTGCTGGAGATGATACTCATTGTCACACCTCTCAACTACACAAATTATTACAGTAATCAATCATGAGTGGGATTTGAGCACAATCAAGTTCAACATTCTATTTCCCATCACAGGTTGTAAACGCGGTCATCCATGATCAGTGGAACCTCTCACAATGCACATCATTAGTTGGGAAATTTGGACGAGTCCGCACGACTCCTACACCCTTTTTGGGTTGGTACGGACCCACCCCCATCCCCATGATTCCCCCCCCCTCCCCTCCCCTCCCCTCTTCATCGAGCTGGTCGTGCGCGCGGCGGGGCAGGGAGTGCACATCGTGCAGGAAAATAGCCGGAGGGAAAAATATGACCTCACTACTATTTCTAGATTTGTCCCCACTCCTTACCAGTTTTATTTTCCGTTTTATTCCGGAACTTTCCCGAAAATTTTAGTACTTTTACCCAAAATTTTGCTTTTCATACGGTTGCGTGGGAGGCACAGTGGATACAGGAAAAACCACTTAAAGTCAGCAACCTCTCTTGGGAGGTGAGAAACCAAATACGACCCCCCCCCTTCCCCCTTACAATTAGGTAATCCCAACAACGACTGCCCCGACTTCTCATGTCAGTGAAATTAAGCGGAGATTACGGTAATTGCCCGCGTTGTGTAATTGCACGGCTACCCTTCGTGTATTTACGTAACATTTCATTTTTGATTTCATCACTGTTTTTGCTTGATTACTTCCTGTTGCAATCGAAAGTTATGTGTTCTCTTCGGGTTCTTCGCATGTGTTTACCCTTACTATCTTCAAAATCATGCTGTATCTCGTAACTATTTTTCTAAAAAAGAACCGAGAAATCGGAAGTTATCGCCATACATGTTATATGTTGTATTGGCGTCTTTCTCAGGTAATTCTCTACCGATTTCTCTTTTAGAAATGCTGGCGCGATCGGCTGTTCGTCGACTTGTTCACGTTAGAAGTATAGCTTCAACATCTCGAGACCCTCCCAGCCCCAAAAAGGTATTTAACCTTCACCTGATTTTCTACTTTGTAGGACTTGTAAACATAAGCAGAAAAAAGATTGGTGTCTATTTCAACATCGCTCTAGCTGTAGCATCATGAGTTCGTATCTTTATTCAAAGCTACCAATTTACAAGCAGGGTAATAGTGTATGAATATTTGCTAAGTAGGACGCAGAGCGACGAAAGTAACAAAAACCCGTTCGAACATTGCTAACAAAGTAACCCATAGCTTCCAACTCCATTGAGAGCGCGTCAGATTCCTGAAATAGTGCTGATTTGGAACTAGTTGAGTAGAATTCCGCAGCCCAAAACACTAGTTGTTAAAAACAAACTACATTTATGTACGTGAATCGTGCCATACCATATGCTAGATGAAGGGTCCGCAACTACAACAGCACGCCACTTTCTATGGCGAAATTGCGCAGGTACGAAGCTGAAGGGTAGTGATATCGGGTGTCGTCTGAATGATTCGCCCACGCTGCCGCACGGACAGCCACACGCCGAACCATAGCCGAACGCGTTACTTGTCTGCGCCCTCTCGCTTCTGCTTGTTCTCTGCTGATAAGTGCTTGTTCCGCAGCGGGATCTTGGGGTTACAAGCAGGGTACGCCATCGTTGTGATAATCACAACGGGGAGAGGTCGTATTTGACCGCGAGGGAGGGGGGTCATATTTAAATCTGAGAAAATTTTTTTGGTTGATTTCTCTTGTTTCACGGACGGTATTTTTGGAAAAAATGGGAAAAATGGTAGGA